TCTATTTGGAGACGAGATTTAAAAACAGGCAGCCTAACACGTAGAGACTTGTTCCACGGTTTGAGGGCTATAGCTGCAAAGGCGTGCTTTCCTCTGTGCTTCAGCCTTGATATTTAGACAATAAGGAGCAACTTTTCAGCTGACCAGAATGACGTTGATAAGACGTATGGTTATAAAAGATCAGAGAGATAGGTTCGAGCTATCCCATTCAGTGACTTGTAAGTACACAATAAAACCTTAAAATCCTAAATTGTACAGGGAGCCAGTGAAGATAGGCCAGTACGGGGACATGTGCTCTCGCCTGCGTTTTCCTGTTTCCTGTTTACTGCAGCATTCAGAATCAGAATCATCTTTATTGACCAAGTATGTGTGCTCACACAAGGGATTTGGCCGGCTTACACAGAAATACTGAGTGGAAATACATGGACTGGGTGATTATGTACAGTATTTAAATTTACAGTTTATTTTAAAACATTTGTACATTATTAGAGAATAATATCCTCCAATGGCAGCAGTGGATGTTTTGATGTTAGAGGGTTATTGAAAGTGAGTGACTGATGTTAAGTGTTCATCAGAGTGACGGCCTGTTGGAAGAAGCTGCTCTTGTGTCTGGTTGTTGTGGCGTTCAGCGTTCTTTAGCGCCTCCCAGAGGGGAGAAGTTCAAACTGTTTGAGTCCAGGGCTGTAAGGGCCTGCAGCGACGTTTCCTGGATGGAGGGCAGGCTGGCACCAATGTGTTGTAGTCTGATACTGTCCTGTTTGTTGACTAAAGCTCACAAACAGGGTCCTTGCGTATGGGGAATCGAGGTGTTGCGGAATGTAGAGCAGTCCCATGTTGACTGCATCATCCACTGACCTGTTTGCCTGGTAACTGCAAGGGGTTCAGCAGAGGTCCAGTGATGTCCTTCAGGTGGGTCAACACCAGTCTCTCAAAGGATTGACCACAGGCGTCAGAGCGAGGGGCCTGTGGTCATTTGATCTTGTGATGGAGGGATTCTGGACCAACTCCAAGCGTGAAGGGAGGCCTGGCTAACACCTACATAAAGGGACTTACAATAGTCTAGTTGGGTCGAGATTAAAGCATGTTTAACATTTATAACATTTTTCATAATGTTTTTAGAACAGTTTACATAATTTAGTTCTTCACGGCGTGTCCAATCGCAAAAGGATTCAGAGCATATCCAATGAAATCTCTCAACATTTGGATACTTTGGTTTAGACGTGATACATTTATCACATTTCAAACAGACATGTGGAATACGCATGTATGTACAGTATGTGGGGAGTCAACGTATTGAATGAGCAGAAGGTATTTTTAATAACCTTTTGTCAACAAATTAAAAAAAAAGTCTAACACTCAGCAGCAGAATACCTTTGCATGCCAAGAGAAAACATGAGAGGGAAAAACAGTAGAAACGTCTTGGACATTAGCACGAGGAGTTAAGTTTCACCGCTGCCCACACACATTTAAGCCAACAAGTTTCCAAGAGAAAGTATAGCCGGAGCTGGCAGGCTGTGCAATGTGTGAGTGGAGACTGGTGAGGCGACATGGATAGTAGCCAAAGCACACAGCCCTGCTGCCTTCCAGGACATTGTGTTCTCTGTTGGGGAGGTGGTGCTCCATTTTTAACAGTTCACCTTGTCCCTGTGCCAAATAAAAGGCCTAATACAGAAGGCCATGCAGGTCACATTATTCAACCAGACTGTACCTCCCACGAGTGCTGGCTTGTATTAATGGTGATGTAATAATAAGATGTCCATGCATTTCTGTGCATTTTTACTCTTTTTACTCACAGGAGGTTATGTAATACCCTCTGGGATCAACTTCTTTGTTTGGTCTTCATTCATTTGCCATAATCATGTCTTGATCGAAAGTGTTCTCAAAATCACTTAATAGATTTGAAGTATTTTTGAAGGAAAAATGCTGAATATATTCTCTGGTCCTATATATAGTTAAGATAATACTGTTTATCTCAGTCAAGTATCATTGCAGATTGAATATCTCTGGATTTTGGGGTTGGTCAGACAAAAGTGGGATTTTTGAAGACGTCAGCTTGGGCTTTGGAAAACTGATTTTAATTTATTTAATAACGATAACGACACATGTGCACATTAAGGCTGTTGCCATCTTGGTTTTTTTAACCAGAAGAGGGCAGAGCTATGTACAACCTAAGACCTATGACATTTTTAGGCGACCAAAATGTTACAATTAACTTTGATGAACTGAAAAAACACTAGGAAAGGGTTAAAAATGTAAACACAACAAAAACACAGACAACTCTCAGACCAGACAATGCAGTGGCGGCGTCCTGTCAATCACAATGTAGCTTTATCGTCTGTTTTACTTTAAATGGGACCATAATTTACTAAATGAACATCACTTTATACAATCCAATGTCTTTTTGCAACCAGAGCAGTCGCCCCCTGCTGGCCATTAGAAAGAATGCAAGTCTAAGTTAAAGTTGTCGCCTGGGGTGTAGCCAACAGTCCTTCGTAGCTCTGTATCACGCCAAACTCTAAGCCCGCCCACTTTTTTAGCATTCCAATCAAATACGAAGGACTTGAGTTAAATCCCTCTTGTAACTGTACTCTGCTCGAATAATCTGTTTCACTGTGAAATACGTCACTCTACAGAAGCTGAAGATGCTCTAACGTTTGTTTCACTGACTTTAAAGGAGCTAAGCCCTCTGCATATCATTTTACCATTACATTTTTCCACTCTTGATGTCTGTAAGTCAGAAGGTGTTCAAACTGCAAGGTCAACCATCATCTTCAACAGTCACTCGAGGCTTGCCTGACTTTATTTAACGTGGGTAGACTGTCATTGACAGATCTCGGTCAAGATCCAACGGCATGGAGTCCACGACGTCTGGGGCCCCGTTGCAGCCTTCATTCGTCTTCCCAGTTGGTGTGATGCTCTCTTAAAGTCAGCCATTATCCTCCGCCTGTTCTACCGTTGAGGTATTGGTTGCTCCTGCTCTTTGTGAAAGACCTTCCCCTCGACCTTACCGCCATGGGCGACCCTACCAGGAGCGTAGCTCCAGACGGCGTCGCTCTCGGGATCTCAGGAACCCACGAGCTTCTCCACCACGACAAGGTGACCATCCACAGAGAAGCTCAACCAGCACACACACAAAAAAACAATGTAAAATTGTTTGTTACGGCTTTCTGAAAATTCATGCAGTTGTCAATGCCTTCAAACAGCCTATTAATTTTGTCGTCACATTAACTAAACAACATTTTCTTCATGCACCACTAAACGGGGCAGTGAATTCTCACCTGCCGGCTTGTGTGCTCACTCTGTGTGCACACTTACTTGAGCTTGGCAAAGGGGGTGAGCCAGGACTTTGACCACCAGTCGTGATGTTGTTACTTTCTTTGGCGTTAACTGTAAAGTGTAAGTGATATAAACACGATGTTTGCTTTATGTTATGTGCCTCAGAGGCTAAGGGGTCTGTTTACATCCCCTGCGGGGTTTAATAACCTTAAAGTACCCCGTACTTCGAATCAATGAAAGACATCATAGTCATGTATGGAAACCTTTTTAAAGTGCAGCAAAATAACAGTTCTAACACTGTGTGGCAAAATCCATTTATTTTTGTCTTTCTTTTGTACAGTCTTCTTGCTGCTTATGTGGATAAAATACAGTCTGTCTTTTCTATGCACACCCCTTCATAAGAAAGTTGACTCAACATGTTGCAAATGACCTATGTTGTCTGTCATCGGTTGGCATTCAAGGACAGGTGCGAGTGTCCCTGTCCTCCCTGAGTGATTGATGGTTGAATTCACTCCCATCTGTTTCTGCTCTGACAGAGACTCCTGTTCTTTCCGATGAAGCCATCTTGAGTGAAAGAGAGTAATATGCAAACTAATGCGGTGACTTGTCAGTAATCACGAACTGACAGGTAAACTCCTTCTCGTTTCCTTCCCCTCACCCTACCCCACCTGACTCCACTGCCAAGTTGACAGCCTGTCCTAGTGAGGGGGAGTTTGGCTGGGGTCCCCGCGCCTCAGTTTGCCAAACTGAGTGTGTCAAAGGTATTTCACGGTGACTTGAGCAAAGCTGGATTCCTCCTTAACTCCATCGCCCATGAATTCATGGTGACAAAATGAGTTTGTGAAGTTTGGAAAAATTGTCCGGAAATAGTTTCAGTAATCAATCACAGGTGCATAGCAACATCTAGATATTTGAATAATTTTGACTATATTTGACTATACATTCAATGTTTGTTTAGGAATCTAATATCTGTATTATAGCCCTGTCTGTTGAGTTAAACACGTGTCGTTATGAGAATAAATCAGACATTTTTTGATTTAAAGGGAACATGGATTAAGGTCATATTACAAGAGCTAAGTTAAAATAGATGACATACTTATCGGTGGATGATTTTGTCAGTGAGTAGGCATCATATAAATCACCCATGTCACCCATCTCTTCTTTCAGCAGAAGGGATAAACGTCTTACTGTAGGTCCCTTTAGCCAGTAGCCACATGCTTCTTCACGTTTCCCTTAACACTAAGTGCAAGTTACAGGCATTCAAAAGATAAGGGGGAATTTCTCCAGCTTTTACAGTACAGCTGTACCAAATAACGAGCAGCATTTCAGACTTTTCAATCTCAACACAACTTGAATTTAGAAATGACAATATAATCTCTTATTTTACTTTGAACCCCACCTGTGATATCTTTGTCCACTCAAGCATGTAGACCAGACGTGTCCATCTGTCTCAAGGAGCTGATGTCATTGCCATTTGAATCGGGGAAAAACGGTGAAACTGAATGAGCATTGTCACACTGAAGAAGTTCTGTGTACAGTAACCATTTTGACACCCAGCAGGGGAGTGACGGTGGTGGGCTTAACACTTGAAGGCTCTCGAATGTCTCATTGCACAAGCAGTGCCAAGCCCCCTCCCCTAACACTTGACCCCTGCTGACGTAACCTGACCATTTACATTTATGGACACCGGCTCACTCCATTCTTAATACCATTTCTAGTGTGGAGAGAAGCAGACGCCAGGGATAAAGTGTGGCAGGAACAGAGAAGTGTTTTTTTGGCTATATACTAGTCAGAGCTCTCTTTACTTGAGCTTTAAAATCTTCATCTGCATCATTGTCGATTGGTGATCTTTAAAAGAAACAAACTTTTTGGAACCACTTTTTTGTATCTAAATTAGTTTGCACACCAACGGGGAGCACTGAAGGGTAGAGCTGGCTACGATTTTTGAAAAAGTATTTTTGTCTGTTTCACAGACGTTATTGGTCCTATTTCTGTCTCAAGTTGGTGACTTAACGTGATTTTTATATCACTGGAGGCCATGAGTTCCTTGGTAATGAACACAGTAGGAGATGGCAACGGTGCAAGTATTGACCTCATCCAAAACCGGATTGAGTCACTCAGCAGCAAGATGGACAAGCTCATCAACATTCAAGAAAAGGTCCTGAACCGATTAGATGGGATGTCTCAGGACATTGATGGCATTGAAATAGATATGGAGAATCTGAAGGTTGACAAGGAGGAGATCCATATTCCACCCAAGATGGTGAGCCAGACCCAGGTCATGGGGCAAGAGGTGAGGGAGATATGCCAAGAGATGAGCACCATAATGTTGGTGGTGAACCAGCGGTCCGAGCAGCACGCTCAGAAGCTTGAAGGGATGGAAAAGCTGGTCCTCAGCATGCAGCAGGTGATCAGCTTCATTGGGGAAATGGTGAAGAGTTCCAGGGCTATGGAGCTGATTTTTAAAGGCTCTGCTGCTCGGAAGGGCTCCAAACTCAAAGACAGTAAAGGCAAGCAAGCCATTAAGAGGAAATCATCTACGGACACAATAAACAAGAAGCTTGACAAGGTGAGACTAAGAGCCTGGAATGTGATGCCGAAACTCAAATATATCTTTTCCTAGAAGGAAATGTGAAAAAGCTTCATTATATTTCTTTAGCATGAAGTAAGTTTGGGATAAATTTAACCCAAATTCATATATGAATTAAGGGTTTTAATATTTTTGCCAGTGTATATCTACACTGTTAAGTTTGTATTGCCATGCTATCGCAGCCCATCCATCACTACCGACATGTCTTCATGTAATAGTGTTGCAAAAGATGCTATATGTGTTCCTTGCTGACTTTGATTTCTCAGATCTCACAAAGATCTTGTTCTTCTTGTTGTTCTTGGCAGAACATGTGAAATTGATCATAGCAGCAACGTTGACCACTCCAACAGTTCAACTCTTGCGTATGAATGGGACTTGGCTTGTGTGTGTGTGTCTGTTGAATAATGGGGCTGTGTTAAAAAGCTGTCTGGGATTTGGCACGTTTACACTTGCCAACTGCTGATTAAAGGTAATTTATGCTAATTTTATAGTGTTCTGTAATCTGCTGCACGATAAATATGTCACTTATAGTTTACATGAAACCCCGATTTAACTCACACTTGTTGGCTCTCTGCCCATGCTGAGTGCAACATGGCCTCCTTGGCCGGAAGGCTCACTCTGGAACCCCCTGGCAGGGCACGAGAGTTGAGGCCAGGGGGGAAATGCGAATGTCCCGGTTTAGCAATGCTGTTCTTGGATCGGGGCTGCAGTGTTTGTGGTCTAAAAGTTCTTTAACCCTTTTAGTTTTACCAGGAGTCAGGCGTCAACAAATTGTGATGAGTCAGACTTTCTCCCCATTCGCTCATCAACCCTGACTCACTTAAATGAGGCACATTTCTACCCTGTATATGAACACTGTTTGTCTTACTTGTGTCCAATTCAAAGCTGTGCCAGTAAGGACATGTGTGTTTGACACTGGGTAACATTGGGTAACAGAGTGTATTGGCTAAAGTCTATGCCATGTGTCTATGTCATGTGATAAATGACTTAGGCTAACTTCCTGCATTGCACAATAGCTCTTCAAAAGATTGTACTGGGAGTCCTGCTGATAGTGCTGTCAAAGCACTTTTGAGTTAGAGGTTCCAGCAAATGTCTGTCTTTAACACTGCATGCAGTGTTTCAGGGATTATCTGTACATGTTATAAAAAGTAAACATGTGCTTTGTAACTATAATCTTAGTGAGGTTTCTGTTGCTCTTCTCAGAATCCAGAATTGTAACTTAATGTTTTTAGTTTCAACTGTGGCTTAGTTGAATCAAACATGTTTTACTGCTATGAAACTTAAATTACCTCCAAATCCAACTGGAGGTTTTGGTTTTTATCATACAGTTATTTGACCTCATATTAAGGTCACTGAGTGCTGCTTGGCATCAACAGCATGAGCTGCACTTACGGATCTGTTAACGTCACATTTCTCACTTGCGTAGCTGCAGAGGTTAGAGTCATATCTCTTTCCCTCCATGATCTACAATAGTAAACGCACCGGAGTGGTTGTAATGTCAGGTTATCACATACCTGAAGGGATATTAATGTCATAGTGTGCAACAGTACAGTCAGTTTTTAAGATATGACACGCTCAAGCCAATTAAAAGTTTGGATCATGATTTAATGGCTAGATTATTTCCTGATGATTAACGACCACATACCACCACATACCACGGCTTCTATGAGACTCACATTTCCGGGAATTTCTGTGGTCATCAGAGCACCTGTCAGGTGGTAGCTCCATCGTCCTCCACCTCCAGAGGTGTGAGATACCTTGCAACTGCTGTTACTCTGGCCTTCTCACGCTTTCTCCAAACTCCCAATCAGAGTTTTGAACTCTAGAAAACACAGCTGTCACTGGGGAAACACTGCACTGGAAATATACCCCCTGCTGTTTACCTCGCGACAGCATTCGGAGAACAAATGTGAGACGCCCAGAGTTCGAGACAGGTTTTTCCATGCTGACCTGATCAGAGAGTGTTTAGTGAGTTTCCTCAGCTGAGAAATTTGAACAACAGCCTACGGTCGCTTGTAATATTTTCCGCTCAGTGTCAGCATTGCATTCCACCGCTGAGTGCGACAAGTGATAAGCTACAAATTCACTGCCCGCTGCTGTCTATCCATCTGCTATGAATAATCAAAAGGCATGCCATTATGCAACTCAGTCTGCGCATGGAGACGTGCAATGGATGTGCTAATCTGCAAGATGAAAACATAGGAAGTGTTGCTTGTATTTTTACCTTTCGTCATTATTTTGTCATGTCATTGAATTATTATAGTTATTTAATATGTTTGATTAATTTGTTGTGTCGTGTGCATTACACGTGACCCTAACTTCATCATATCAACCTTCTGACATTCATTCTTAACATGTGATATTTCTTCCTTTTCATATAACCCTACTAAGCATTGCCATCTTGTCTCTTTGCTAGAAACCCACCTCTAATAAAGCCAGTAAAGGGAATCAAGAGATAACTCCTGCATGTGAGCCCAGTTCTCCCCAGACTTCCCACAAGATGAAGCTCCATGGACCAAAGCATTACCTCGCCTCTTGCATTTGTGGAAAATGTGTAGGTTTATTGTGCTTATAGTCTGTATGTGTACAGGAACTTGTCTTTTTTTTTATGATAGTGTGTGTGTGCTTTTGCTTTTCTTGCCCTTTGTTCTTCATGTCATAGCTTACAGGGTTGCCTCCATACTGTAGTGTTCTGATTTTCTTGACGAGAGGAGAGCTGTGCGTTACAGTTGGTAAATTTAGCTTTGGGACAGTAAATAGTGCAGTATGACATAGCTGAATTGTTTATTTTAGACGGGAGCATTAAAGCAAGTTCTATCGAAGAACAAAAAAAACCTTTTCACTGAGATCATTTCTTTGAGAATGTAAAGATTGAATGTCGATAAACTGAAATGTCCAGATTTCTTTTTTGACTGTTTTCTATTTGTATTCCACAGTTGAAGGACGACAAAGGTAGAGATGGGACAGATGAGCCCCCATTGAGCCCAAAGGGTCTGAAAACTCAAAAGAAGATTAAGCCTCCAGACACAGCAGGTGCTGAGATCAGCATACTTATATTCTACAGAAATATGTCAGTGCTTAAACTCTGAGGCCCATTTGAAATAATCAGCGAGACACATGCAGCAGCAAAACGTAAATAAAAACATGAAGTTGCCCTTTTAGATTTTTAGATCTGCGTTAGAGTGATATTCTATTGCATGTACAGCTGTGGCGGACTATAGTATTTACACTGTGACACAGAAAACAAGCTCAGAATGTCAAAGTGAAATATATCATATAACCTTTCACAGTATTTAACAGGTTGTGAGTGACAAAATCTGAATCCTGTTTGGACTTCTTGTAGAAAATATCTCCTTGAAGAAGCAGGTGTTGCTTCTCGATGAGGTGCAGAAACTCAACAGGGAGAATGCAGAGAAATCACGTCGTCATCAGCTCACCCCTGGAAATCTCGATCTGGAGGCTGGAGTGTCCCCTAAAGACCAACAACCTGAAGCCCCTGCTTGCAAAATGGTGGACTACCTGCGGGAAGATTCCGAAGCGGCTGTGGATGAGAAACGCAAGGTTGTTGAGGCGGTTAGTGAGGAGGGGATGAGGGAAAAGGTGAAGGAGGCAGAAGCAGCGCTAACAGAGAAGGAACCAAAGCTCGATGTGGAGGATGTAGTGAAAGAGGAAGAGAAAGAAAAGCGACCAGAGGAAAAGAAGGAACAGGTTGCTCCTCCTGAAGGAGCAGCCAAAGCCCAAGAGTTGCCTGCTGCCCACAAGGACGAAAAAGAGCAAACTGCTACAAGGTAGTTTAGGTTTAACCCCAATAAGAATGATTTTTCAGTAAATCAATTAATACATACATTTATTTTGCAAATGTTTTGAGAATCATCTAACCACTTGAGAATGCAAAAATAACAAACATTTGATTTGAGAATTAACTGCAATTCTTTGACCTACGATATAATAAATTAAATATATTTGTATTTGATGTTGTCACTTTGTGCTCTTGGTAATTGCAACGGCGATTTTTTTACAGTTTTCTGATGTTTTACAGATGAATAGATAATTGATCAAGAAAAAACGAAAAATTAAATGAATAAAGAAATATTGAGCTTATTCTCTGATTAATGTTCTTTGTTAATCTTTTTAGCTCAGCGGTTCAGGAGAATAGTGCTTCATTAATAAAAAGTTATTGATAGTTCTATTTTAGATCAAATGTAATTTGTAATTTGTTATTAGCCATGACCTATTATATATTCGCTATGTATCTCAAACGTGCAGCCATTTCATTGAAATTATGACTTATTTCTCAATGGCGTTGGATGAATCAATTATATTGTGTTTTTTTTAAAGATCAATGAAACTCTACCTTTAGCCACATCTACAGTATGTACCGGAAACTATGCAAGCTGTAATGAGACAAAACTAACAAACAAAAACAACGTTCTTTTCCCCCAGCAGTGACAACCACAAAGGTGCCCTATCATCTCCAGAGGTCAGCAGAACGAGCAGCAAGTTCTGTGTGACCGAGGAACTCTTTGTGGTGGAGGAACACTCAAAGAGCCAGGTGGTGGTGGAGGAGGAGGAAGAGGAAGAGGAAGGGGAAGAGGAAGAGGAAGAGGAGGAGGAGAAGAAGGTAGACAACGAGGAGGACGAGCAGAAGCTCGAGTCTGAGGGCTGGGCCGTCTTCAGGGCAGATGGAATTCAATTCCAGTTGAACCTGAAACAAAGGGTGGAGAGAGAGAGAAAGAAAAATGATGCAGATAACGATGCAGAAGGGGAGAATGATGAAGATGTAGAGCGGTACTTTATCGGTGAGTCGGGACTCTTTGACAATAATCATGGCAGGAAGTTGAATGTGTGAGTAGCTGAGCTTCATTGACCCAATTTTAACCCAGTTTATTTCTACTGTGAGGCAGTTCCAGAATCAGTTAATCATTAGAAAATGTACACAATGGACACTGTTTAAGACTCTGTGTGTGTATCTTTAATTCGTTAGTTTGAATTATAATGCCCACATATAGCAGTTTATAGTTGTTTTGTAAATAACTTCATACTAGAACTACAAATAAACCAGATATATCGGTATTGGTGTATATGATGGCTGATAAATTACAAGAATTTGCAGTACACAAATGTGATTGATTTAATTTAATAGAAAAAAAATCAATATTATTATGGGCCTCAGAAATCCAGTATTGTCCAAGCTATATTTCATACATTAAATCCATAATACTTTTTTAATATCTTCATGGCCGGTGGGAGAATGCTAAGTTGGTACAGTACAGTAGCATGAAGTAGAATAAAGCACATGAAGTAGGTTGCCACTAGAGGATGTGTTGAGCTAAAGCATGGTTACTCCTGGTAATATTTAGACAACAACTATGCCTGTAGTTGGTGTTTATCACAGCACGTTAATGCACAATGTGCTAACTTGATTATTGCAGCCATGCACCCTTTCAAAAGCCTCACTGTAGTTGATTGACAATGAAGCTCCTATGTTCTCACATTGCTCATAACTTATTAAAACCGATTATATCTTTTCTCGGGTTCCCCATCCTACTTTAGACACCTCTCCTCCTCCAGTGGCTCCTTTTAATCACCGCATTGTTTCTGCCAAGCCCAACCAGATCATCAACTTCTACACCATTAATTGGCAGGAGGTCCTGGGCGGGTGAGCATCGTACCTTATAAATCTCTGAGTCATGTCAAAAATGAAAGCTATTGATGACCAGTTGATCTATTGCAGATCAAAGGCAGGTTGAAAGAGGTTTCCATAAAGCCTAATTGCGTAACCCTTCCCCTCTCCTCTCCCCATAACTCCAGAGTCACTCCTGTTATTTTTACTTCAGGACTGAGTGGTATGTGAAACAGTATCCCTGGTGCCAGCTGGTAGCTAATCACTAAGTGTTAATCCAAGTCTTCAAAGAGGAGACACAGCACCAGCTCAGATTTAATGAAATAACAGATTAAGCTCAACACTGTCCTAAAACCTCTCCATTTGACAAAAAGATCAGTTTTTGATTTCTCATGGAAACACCGTCTCTGTCCTGTTTCACAACTGTCTCTAGGCTGCTGTGATGTACGAGTTGAGGTGACTCTGCAACTAAAGGATTCTTTGTTTTCTTCTCTCCGTCTCTTCAAGGGGTCGTTTTGGCCAGGTGCACAGATGTGTTGAAAACTCCTCTGGTCTCACTTTGGCAGCGAAGGTCATCAAAGCCAGGAATCTGAGAGAAAAGGTAACGTCCAGTATCATCATGATGATTTAGTCCTATTTTGATACAACAAGTGAGAGCCACACCACATGATATTAAAAGCAATGGGGCCCAGTTTTCAGTGCACACTAATGCACTTACAAGGCCACTTGGAACAGAAGCAGAGGGAATATTTCTCACCTATAGGTGAGAAATATTTGACCTAGAAGAGAAGATGCATTGTCTCATAGCAGAGAACAGCTGACACCTCTCATACGTGTCCGTGTGTGTGTGTGCTTGCTTGTTTGTGTGTTTGTCGGCCACTGTGTCTCGCTGTCTGCCTCTGCATCTGTCTGTCTGTCTGTCCGTCTACACCTGTGTTTTTGGTAGGACGTGGTGAAGAATGAGATCCAGGTCATGAATAATCTGGACCATGCCAGCCTGATCCAACTCTATGCAGCTTATGAGTCAAGGAATGACATCATCCTTGTACTTGAATAGTATGCTCCTTCTTTCATATTTTCAGCACATATTCTTTTGAAAACAGCGCCGTATACCAAGTAGTTGTCCTTCATAGATTTTAAACTACTTCATTAATGTCCAGTAGAATTTTGGTTAAGTTTGTTGATAATTGTATTCGTGATAGTATGGATAGTTATGCTAAAATATAACACTACTTCGGATTTGAAATGCTTTAAATGTCGGGTGTTTGATTGGTGTTTTCTATGTATTTGTCTTGAACCTTAGTGTTGGTGGAGGGGAGCTGTTTGACAGGATCATTGATGAAAACCACACTTTGATGGAGCTGGACGCTGTTCTTTTCATCAGGCAGATCTGTGAGGGCCTGCAGCACATGCACAAAATGTACATCCTGCACTTGGATTTAAAGGTAACATAGTCACTCATATTTTATCGTAATATTATTTGCATTCTCAAAGTTGAATCCATCAATTATTCAAATTTCAGCCAGAAAACATTCTGTGTGTGAGCAGAGTCACAAATAAGATCAAAATCATCGACTTCGGTCTTGCTAGGATGTAAGTACCAGCATTTGCTTCTATTTTGTTGATTATTTTATCGACTGCTGTAATAAAATCAAAAATGTAATTGTCCCTTTTACCCCAACATAGATATAAACCACGAGAGAAGCTGCGAGTGAACTTTGGAACTCCAGAGTTTCTCGCTCCTGAAGTCATCAACTACGACTTTGTGTCGTTCAACACAGACATGTGGAGCCTCGGCGTTATCACCTACATGCTGTAAGTAAACACACAAACGCATGCACACACACGCACACACTAATGCTAATGACGGTCTGTTTCTTCCCGTTAGTCTGAGCGGTCTCTGTCCCTTCCTCGGCGACGACGACAACGAGACTCTGAACAACATCTTGGCCTGTAAGTGGAACTTTGAGGAACAAGAGTTTGTGGAAACGTCTGAAGAAGCCAAAGACTTCATCTCCAGACTCCTCATTGTGAATAAAAGGTAAACATCGTCTCGTGCTGTGTGTGTGCTGTGTGGTGATCTTCAACAGAATACAAATATGTCATTGTGTGTGTCATCAGTTGGAGGATAGGGGCATCTGAGGCCTTGAGACATCCTTGGCTGTCTAACCCAGTCCTTCATCATCGCCTTCATACGAAGGTAGACTTCACAGTCCTCGCCTGTATTTATCATAAACTAACTGAGACACTAGGTTGCTGATCTTATAACTTAATTCTCCAAAATAATATTGAAGAAATAGACAAAACTACTGAACAGCACTACAATTCAATATCATTGTTCTTTCAGAGTAGATTAGAAAACATTCTTCCTTCTGAATATGATATTAACATTCAAAATATTTGAAATGTACAATTTAATGTCGTAGAGAAGCTTAAGTGAATTAATCTTTTTTTTGCTTTATTTCACAGAAAACTATGTGCAGATCACGGCGTTCATCATGTGTGCCCATGACTTGATAGTTAAGGTTGGTCTCTCTTATTTTTAGGCTAAAATAATATATTGTTATTATGTTTGAGCTGTTAAATTTCTTATTTTTTTTGCAAAAAGAGATCATTACTTCAAACATTAAGCCTGTACAGGAATGCTTTCAAAACATCCACAAGGGGGAAGCATGTCTCAAATTTTGTGCAAGGCAGCATAGAAGAAACAAGAAACTTAGTACCTGTCTGTTACTGTATATATACTGAGAGTCAGTCATCCTATTTACAGTACACGGTATTTTTCTTTTTAGGGCTATAAAGATGTGATGGCTTCAGCCGTGGCCACTTGGACCAACCTTCCTGTCCACGTAAATTACCTTAATTTTCAGTCCATGCACCTGTAGCATGGACTGAAATTTTGCCTACCCCACAAATCCTGTTCTGATCCGCTGTTGTTGTGTTTATGTCAGCAATATACAAAAACAATACGCAGACAAAAGCAGTTTTGTTTAATCGGGATTAAACGTGGGTAGTCCCACCATGCATTAGACTAGAAGTAAGTAAAAATAACAATAACATTTTATAGCATATTTTTTATCATTATTAATGGCAACTCAACAGCTTACGTTGTTTGTCTTTGTTTTTTTTCCCATCACCTCATATGTGGCATTTTAAAACGGTGCTAATGTCACAGTCTGACCTGTCATTAGACAGACAGTATTATCATATAAGAGCTTGATCGTGTGTCGCACCTTTGCCTTGAAAGCACATTGTACTATCTACTTAATTTTGAAATATCCACTCATATATTTCTAACCAAATACACTGACTGTAATAATATGTGTTGCATTTATCCCCCTTGTTATTATCGGGCTGTAAATAAAAGCTGAACTGTAGATTTAAAATTCAGATTTTCACATATATGTTAGGGGATGGACTCCATTAAATTGCTGGATGTGTATTGTATGTATGGACAGAATGGAATTTGCACAGTTGGTGTCATGAGCTGTAGTATGTGCACTTTATAATGTTATTTATTTAAACATAGATAATACATGAAGCTACCGTAGTGCCTTAGAAAAGGCTTGTGTGGTCAGATCTACCCATATTTTCTTCCTACTTCTGTTTCATCCTGCTCTGTCCAGGTGTTTATAAAGAAAATATATTTTGACTTCATAACAAACCAAAACAGTTTGGATCTTATCAGCCTAGTGTATCATTTTAGATCTTAATTGCATGTGTCTATAGGTATTATTAGCCATTAAAGGTTGAACTAGACACAAGGAGAAATAACTTTTTTAAACTCTTATTTTTTCACTCTAGCCTCATATTCTGTAGATGCTTTTTTCCACAAAACAAAGTTATCATGCCTTCTGTGAAGGTTTATTAAAGTAATATACTACCTACCTAATTTGCCTGATGAAATTGTTAGAACTACATTCATGTGGTTTTAATTGAACTTGATTGTGAATGTTACTTTAATTGTTGTTGAACACATGAGTGCTTGTGAAAGAAGTTGTCCTCACCGAGTGTTAACAATTTCAAATTCAGCATGTATTTGTGAAGCGTGTACACATCCATTAAACTGAAATAGTGACCTAAATGGGAGTAGGTTTCCTTTTATTACTGTTATTTGAAGTTCAGTTTGATATCATACAATACAGCAGAGTGCATCAAAAATGATGAACATAGTCGTGAATTTACTGTGGGCAAAAAGAAAAGAAAGTGTTTAGTAAATACCAGTGGCTTTCAAATAAAGAGGAAAACCACGTAAATAGCTAGCACTTTCCAGGATCTAATATATTTTAGAGATTCTGACCTTTACGAAGAAGATTGAGGTTTTCCCTTGTAACACCCAAAAGAACAGAAGTCTTAGTGAAGAACCATCCATTTTCAAATTGTCACAGAAACACAACTGATGTGGTGTTACACTATTTCTTTAACAAACTGCATGATTCCTCGTGATCTCATGAGTATATTCAGTAAAAAAAAACTGTCTTTAAACTGTGACTGAGAGCACAACACTCTATTCATGAAGCCTTTTTTCTTTCTCTAGTGAACTATTTCCAGGTCTATTTAAACCTTAAATACACACTCCTTCTCAGGATGAAAGTACAGCTGATTCCAGGAGCCTAATAAAGAGCATCTGAGGGAGCCAGTGTGCGTAATATGTTTTTTTCACCTGAGAAAATAAACTGTGTGGGATGATGATGATGATGATGATGTAGGGGAATTGGGCTTTGACTCAAATATATTGGTGAAAAAAAAGTGATTATCAGCTTTTTTTTTTTTTTCAGAGGTCACAGGAAGGACGGAGACACTGAAAATGAAAAATAATGACAGTTTGGAGGAGCATGTGTACATTTCAAGCTACATTTCCACAAAGTATACCTTAACGTTCAGCTTGCTCTATCCTTCTAAAGACGGTAAGGTCTTATTTTACAGAACCCGCAGGGTTAGTCAAGGATAAGTGCAGATTTTATGGGGGAGTACCTTGGGAAACATGTATTTAATTGTACAGAAATACCAGAAAAGCAAACTATACCACCAAAAAGCATAGTAACCCAGTCGTTGACCACTTTTACAGCCAGTAGTTTGAGACTGTCACGGCCATAAAATTGTAAGGGTCGACAAATTAATTCACAGTTTTGGGGTTATTTTCATTTTTATTCAGTTCTGATTTATAGAACATGCACTAGACAGTGACAAGAGAGATGCATGAGAGAGACATGCTGTCCTCCAACTGTATGAAAACCTGAAATCTACTTGAGCTCCCTTTGTGGGTCTTTTTCCTAGAAAGTGGACAAGAGGAGAGATGTGCAGCTAAATATGGAAAACCACCACAGGAATGTTTACAGAGCATCAAAACCAACTGAAAAAGAAAATGTAACACAGAAGCATGTGATAGGTAACCAAAATAAAAGTGCTCAATTTGCTTTTGTTTTTTGCATGAAACTACCTTTAATTCACAGGAAAAGCACAAAGGCTTTAAAAGAAAAATGGAGAGAACAGTATCCTGAGTTATTGATAGTGTACACACTGTAAATATAAAAAAAATATCTGACAGAAATTCACTGATGGGGATCCACAAACATGTTTTCACAGGTACATCCGGCTAGCCAGATGTAGCTAACTAGCTAGCTAGATTACTTTTTGTGCTGGCTACTGTACATGTATAACCATCAATACTATACGGACCTTTGCCACAGAGGTTATCTTTTCATCTTTTGAAAAACATTTCTCCTAGTATACATGTATCAAACATCAACATTAACACCCTACACATGTATTTTGAATACTTTCCGTCCTGATTTCCTATCAAGGACTGACAGCTTTGTTTAGTCTGCTATTTGTTTGTTTTCACACATCATTTCATCAGACAAACTGACTGTTTCAGGTCAGTAGTGGTTCAGAGAGAGTTCATACATTCCTCCGCAGCGAGAGAGCAAGTTAATAGCCATTACACCAAACATGCAGGTCATTTGGCAAAACAGGTGATACTGATTTCTTCCACGTATTTTCCTTTCTTTCTTACTTCTTTTTTGCATATATCTTTCAGCAGCCTGAGTGTTGGAGCTCTCGCTCTATCCGTGGTACAAGGCCCAGGTTGGAATGGTGAGAAATTCAATTTAAAAGAAGAAAAAAGTCTCCTCAAACTGCCCCTCCACCACCCCGCCTCACCCCTAAGTCCCCTCCATCCACATCTCCAGGGGCGATCTCGAGGAGCCAAACCAAAACCAGATGGACTTATTGGGCCTAAAGACAACAAATAGTGCCTGAGTTCTTGTCAGTTAGAGACCACCGGAGCTAAGAAGCTGAGCATTAAGAAAAAGCTTACTGAAAGGTCTACTTCTTTGTCCTGATATGTAAAATATTATCAATATTGACAAGTATTATAATTGTTTGTAAAGTTTCTGAGAATAACAGAACATTTGGTGCTAGTGGTTTGTTTGTTCTGGGGTGCTGACCGTACAGTTTTGGTGTTGATGTGCGTGTTAAATGGGGGTTGCGTTCACAGACCAGGTGACATATTGGCTTTGGGAAGGTAGGCTGTCAGCAGTGACCTGAATCTCTGGGTGGCATGCTCTCTAGTTTGTTAGTGGATACACCTACCACCCACACACACTTAAAGGACAGAGAGAGAAAAAAAGAGTAGGGTGACCCCAGAACTCCTCACAGCCTCCCTGCAGATTGACTAAGAAAGTGTCCTTTGTAACAGGAGTTTCCTGTACGTAATTAAAAGATATTGGGCCCTGCCCAGAAGGGAGGAGGCAGGGCCCGGGGTTGTAGGAGGCTATGTGAAGGGTAAGATTCCCTGCTCCGCTCTTTGTTTCATGTAAGAGCCCCGGAGCTGGCCCTGACGTTTGTCCAAACAAGAGGCGCTCTCGCTCTCCAAGGAGGTCCGGAGAGAAGACCAGCCAGTTCTCAGGGCCCGGGGCAGGTGGTTCTGATTTGTGAGGGGCAAACAGATCACGTTTAAGTTCAGTTAATGGCAGAACACGTGTCGTCACGTCCACCAGTGGGAACATGCTGGATGAGTGATTTGCTTTTAACACTGCTGAGATTTTTCACCAACAAGAACACAATGTCCAATTATCCCTTTATAGGAGAAGTTGGTTGTCATCCTAAACCTGGATATCCCTGATAACCCAGTCATTATGAAAGGATCTTCTTTCTTCTTTGTTAAATTAAAGCAAGACTTTGTGAATTTTGAAGGAAAAAAGGTTCTCTTCATATGAATAAAAAGGACAATTTATAAGCAATAAAACGCACTTGGGCTCAATTCAATATACTCAGCGTTTTTTGTGCCCTAAAGCTCTTCAAGATTCACTTTGTAAAATGTCTAATTAGTTTTAAGAGCTTGAAGTAGATGGGCTTCATACTTTTACTCTGCGACCAATTCTTTTCAGTAACAGTACAACATGACTTTTGAAATGAAAACAGCCATCTCCCACCCACGCGCAGATTGATTTCCAGACGAGGGGGAAACACAGCAGCTTGCTGTGTCAGGTGTTTTCAGTCGGTGGTTTCAACACTGATCAAATGGCCACGCTGAAGCCTTTAATGATCTTGGAGGTTCCCCGCTGTTGGGTCATCTGCTCGGCTCCACATCACCTCCAGGTTGGGCTCTACTGCTGGTCAGGCGGTCCCACATGGGGCCCTTTCCATCAGCTTTGTATTTACTCGTCCCTCTGGCTCCCCCTCGGCCTGCACGGGGTCTCTGTTCAGTCTGCCAGCCCTGCTGAGAGGGCTCTGTGGGCGAGAGGGCCATAATCCATCAGGCCCCCCGAGTGTGTACGTGCTTCGCTCTCTTATGCTTTAGCTCAAGCTGAGGAGGTCTTTGCTGAAGGAACTAAATGGAGCCAAGCGTCTTGTTCAAACAGACCGAAGGAGCACGTTCTCTGTGCTAGTGTGTTAATACAAGCTTGTGTGCAGGCGTGGGTGGATGAACATGCCGCTTGTGAGCATGTTTTATCACATTCCAGCCGACAAATGAACTCCTCCTTGACCCCTTACCCATGCAAACATCTACTCATCCTGCCCACAACATACCCCTGACATGTTTTATTGGAACTGCTTTATCTATTCGCACTCCGCCCACACACACACACATATGTTACGTAGCAAATAGACATCCATGAGCTTCATACATACCCATACTGTACATGTCTCTGTTATGTTCTCCCATCCCACCCACAGCGTCTGTCCTCCCTCCCAGTGCGCAGTGATCGATGAGCTGAGCCCCGGTCTCTCTGCAGCAGGGACCGTACTGACCGAGGGGAAAAGACCCCTTAGCCCGTTCTCCGTCCGACTCCCAAAAAACAGCTCCCATGGCCAACAAAAACACCGCACAAGGCATCCAAATGGCAACCCGTACGACTGCTGCTATTGTAGTGTGAAATGTTTCCCACGACGGAGCTCGAGACATGGAGGGGAGGATTCGATGCATGACACAACCCTGAAATTGAGAAACAAGGGTCAGACTGAGATGATGCAGAAGATGTGATGACTTCTGTCATGACGATTTGAGTCTTGTTAATGTACAGCACCGTGAGAAAGTACTTTTTTTAACACCACATATTTTGAGAGACATGATAAAACAAAAGCAGCCAAATAACCTGAACATCCTTTGCAGTTTTGATCATGTAAATATATCGTAAACATTGAGGGGAATAACTCATATCTGACCATATTATAGCTAAAAATGCATCGCTATAGTTTGTTCTTGGTTTGGGCTTTTTTTTTTGGGGGCCTGCCTCCATTTCAGTCCAGTCTGCTTTTAGACGGGGGAAACAGGAAAAGAGTCACAGTGCTGCGGTTCACTCTTCAGGCCATATTCACTTGACCACACAAAGAGCCCATTTTGAGGGAGACATTTTATGTGTTGTGTGGCAGGCGAAAAGATTTACTGCGTCTGTGTCTATTCAGAGGCGTTTTGGATGATGTTCATGCTCTTACTGGTAAAGGATTTATTGCAGTTGGGAATATCAGGTAGTCACACCGTTATAGTTTACCAGTTAAATCCAGAAAAAAGTATTAATATACAATTATCGCTGCAATTCTGAAGAGCGGTCCAGTTCCTTGATATAATGAGGTTGGATT